CACACGCCCATTCCACTTACTCACGTATAGACCATATTCTTGTCCCCCCTCGAATGTTGGGGGGTATTGGATCAGTAAAAATTAGGGAGGTGTCCTGGTCTGATCATGCCCTAGTTGTGATGACTTTCTCCTTGTCCCAATCCTTTTGGGGATTGGGACATTGGAGACTTAATGACTCACTTCTAAGTGATCCGGGGGCAGTAGCAGAAGTTCGGAGTGCACTGATAGAATATTTTGATATTAACACCTCCTCAGTATCCTCTTCCAGTATCAACTGGGAGGCTCATAAGGCTACGATAAGAGGGCAAATTATTTATATCTCCACACGTAAGAAACGCCAACGGACATCTTATATTTCTAAACCAGAAGGAGAGTTGCGAACTCTGACTCGGGCTCATAAACAGCATCCAACGAAAGACCTCCGAGAGGGCATTGATCGGGTTCGGCTATCCCTTAATTTGGCCCTTACTACGGTGGCAGAGCGGAGCCTGCGATGGTCCCAGCACAGGTTCTATTCACATGGGGATAAAATCGGCCACTTATTAGACGCCGAATTAGCACCTAAGCATTGTAGCTATATGATACCCAAAATAAGAAGTGCAACGGGAAAATATACACAGAATCCTAAAGTAGTTATCCAGGAATTCGAATCCTTTTACACCCGATTGTATGCCAACAGTCACGACCCATCTAAATCACTAATACAACAATTCTTGAGAGCCATGGCACTCCCCAAACTAAACCCTGGGCAGGTAGCATTACTGGAGGAACCAATTACTCAATCGGAAATTAAGCAAGCTATTAAACAGGCCAAAATATCTTCTGCCCCAGGCCCGGATGGGTTCTCAGTTAGCTATTATAGGAAATTTGAAGAGATACTTCTGCCTCACCTGGAAGCCCTCTTTTCAGCTATAGGTAAAGGTGAGCCCTTGAGTGCGTGTATGAATGAGGCATATTTAAGTTTAATCCCTAAACCTAATAAAGATCCAGGAGAAATAACTAACTACAGACCTATATCTCTAATCAATAATGATCTCAAATTGCTCACTAAAATTCTAGCGAACAGAATTAAATCTTTCTTGCCAAATTGTATCCATAAAGATCAAGTGGAGTTGATTAGGGGAAGGCAGGGGCCAGACCAAATCCGCAGAGCAATCGATATAATATCTTTCTTAAAATCAGGATGGGGTAAAACTCCAGGCATTAAGGGCTTCCTGTTATCGGTTGATCTACAGAAAGCCTTTGATTCGATTTCCTGGTCGTACCTTTTTACGCTCTTAGAGGAATGGGGGTTTGGCAGTTCATATGTTTACTTCGGAACTTGTACTCCTTCCCCTCGGCCGTAATTAAGATGCAGGGATTTAAATCAGCCCCAATTCAGATCCAGATCCTTTAATCTTTAAGAAACTAAAGGGGGACTTAGAAAGGTGGTCGTTATATAACTTATCTTGGTTAGGGAAAATAAACGCTATTAAAATGACCCTGCTTCCTCAGTTATTATATTTGTTTAGGGCCCTCCCCATCCCGGTTCCCAGACTTGAACTAGTTACCTTTCAATCTAACTTGGTGAAATTTATTTGGGGAGGTAGAGGACATCGCCTACCTAGGAGCATGCTTTATGGTGCCCACGCTTTATGGTGCCAGGGAGTCAGGGGGGTTAGGAGTGCCTAATATACTCCAGTACTATCGAGCTGCACGTATTGCTCAGCTATCCGTGATATATTCCAAGGAAGAACTACCGGATTGGGTCTTCATGGAGTCAGAGGCAGCTAAAGACATGTCCATAGATTTATTGAAATGGCTACCTTGTAGGCTGCGCCCGCCTATTATGGCCCCTACCCTCTCTGATTCTCTGGCTCTGTGGGACCGTGTTAAAAATCAGGGAAATATGAGCTCACATCACGCTCCTCTTGCCCCTTTATTTCAAAATCCGGCGTTTGCACCTGGTGCTTACTCTAAGTCCTTCCAATGGTGGATAGATAAGGGCCTATATAGAATTGGTCAATATCTTAAGGGGGGGGAGACCTTTGACTCTGGAGTACTGCAGGGAACATCTGGGTATGCCATCGTCTGAGTTGTTCAGCTACTATCAAATTACTCATTTTTTGCAAGATAAATTGGCACGGACCAACTCGGGTGGGGACCTTACCCCGTATGAACATTGGGGTCTTCGGGCTATAAACCAGAGAGGGGTCATTTCCCTGCTGTACTCTATAATGATAGAATCCCCCCCTAAACAGCCATATATGTGGGCATGGGAAAGGGACTTGAATAGGGAGGTGCCAGAGGAAGTATGGAGGCGTTGCTCAAGAGTGACAACCCAGGGCCTGCTGAACGTTTCATTGTTAGAAGCCAACTTTAAAGTTTTTTTCCAGGTGGTACTTGGTACCCAGGGGCATCCCCTCTGTGCTTTCGGGGATGCGAATTGGGAGGAACCATGTACCATGTGTGGTGGTCGTGCCCTCAGATCCGTGCATACTGGGCAGGGGTGTTCAACTTAATCTTCCGGGTAACGGGCGTGAGGGTTCCTAGAGATCCTAGTTATGCTCTCCTTAACGATACGCTTCCAGGGGTATCCAGACACAGTACTCGCTTAATTATGTTCATGTTCTTGGCGGCTAAAACCACGATCGCCAAAGCTTGGAAGGCACCTAAAGTGTCATTATGGCAAGTAAGGGCCAAGCTGTCATGGATCATGATCCATGAAAAATTGGCGAGTATTCTGCTGGATAAGGTTGGGCAATTTGAGTTAACATGGGGTCCTTGGATGGCCTATGTAGGCGGTACAACAACTTAAGAGTGACATAAGGAGGGTAGGCCCTAGCTCTGCCCCACTGAAACTAATTACTTGGAAACGGGTCCCCCCGACTAATTATAATTTATAAATTGTAATTATAAGTTGTAATTATAGCTTATGGGTTTGTCCCTCCCTCTTCCCTTCCTGACGGCCTTTACATATTTTTCCTTTTCTTTCTTTCTTTTTTTTTGTTTTTGTTTTTTATTCTTCTTCTCTTGTGCTAGGTCTCACGTTTTTTATGTATGTAAGTAAGTTATGTGAGTCACGGTACCAGCGGTATGCAATATTTTGTATAAAAGAGTCTCATATCAACAGAAGCATAATAGGGATCACTTAGCGATCAAATCCCCGTGCTTGAAAGGGGGAAAGTATGGGGGATTCACTTTAGGGTAGATCCCTTTTGCAAAACAACTAGAAAGGGACCGTTCTTCTTCCTAATGTCGAGGTACGAAGGTTAGACTTAGTAACAAATGGGGAGAAAACAAAAACCCAGTAAAATTAAATGAGCAATGTTATGTTATGTTGCGTACGATCGGTACTGTAATATTTGGTTATATGATGTAATTGTCTTAGAATGTGTCGATGAAAACGATAAAATATTTGAAATATAAAAAACCTGAACATCAATGCAGCAATGGTACAAAATGCTCATCAACGTTTAATCAGTGCTTGATCAGCTTTAACAGAGTGCAGACATGACATTAGGGGTCTAATGTCTCCTTAAAGAGAACCTGTAACCCGCACGATGTTATCACGTAGGCAGGGCCTAAGGTGGCATCTCATTGGGTGGCAGCTAGGTGGTGGGGAGTGGCAGGGGGGCGGGCCACAGCGCAACCTGTAGTGCTTTGTGCAGCTTTCAGCCCAGCTCAGTGACGTTACCTGTTGCCAGCAGCCTGGCTGGACACTCTGGTTGGCATCGCTGAGCTCTTGGCAACCAGTGACGTCAATGAGCTGGACAGGCACTGACACGCTGTCTTGCATCCACCCCCCCTTCCCTGAAAACAAATAAGCACAACAACCGCAAGCCCGCCAGCCCCCCATCAGTGAACATTCTCTACCAGCACCTACCCTTTTGCCCCACGGATGACATTGCCTCAGGTAGCAAAAACTTTAGGGACAACCCTGCACATAGGGGCCCGCTTGTGATAGCAAAAAAGTTTAAAAAAATAAAAATACATTTGATAAAATACATTTATAAATAAATAAATTTAGGAGCCCCCCTACCCACATACACATGAACGCAAATGCACCCACTGGGTGCACACATGCACGAAAACTACGTTTGCAACACACATAGAGGGGAATTTATCAAAACTGGAGCAGACAAAATCTGGAGAAGTTGCCCATGGCAACCAATCAGCTTCTCTCTTCAGTTTGTTCAGTTAAGATTTGAAAATGAAAGAGAAGCTGATTGGTTGCTGTGCACAGTTGCTCCAGATTTGGTCTGCTCCTGTTTTGATATATTCCCCTCATACTGTATTAGGTATCACCACACATGCTGGAGTGAGAGCAATATATGGGCCGTCATCACTGTTACCTCAAAAGTAATGAGCTGTTTAAAACTCTTTAAAACGTTGCCTATTAACAAATTTGGGTACCATTGTTTTTCATGTTTTACAGGGCATGCAATTTTCAGGCTTTGCATATTTGGTATCTATTCAATAAATGAAACCTCATCTTTTATATTTTAGCAATAAAATATAAAATGCACTAAAATGTATTTGAGTGTCCTTTTTACTGAAAACATAGCTTTGATAAACATGAGTGCAATTATTGTGTACCAGAACAAAATCTCCGAAAATAGGTAATGTTTTGGGGTTTTTTTTTGTAGTAATCTTTAGGTCTAAAATTAGCATTTTTATCTTGTGTGCAGAAAAATATAAACGTGGCTCCGGCATCGAAAGGGTTACAGTGTAAATAAAAAAAATTGTATGGCACTGAAAGTGTCGCCAGATACCAGGTGGCTTTCGTACAATCGCTGAGTGGCCACTCTCCACCGGCAGAGGGCAGTAGCGAATAATTACGGAGCACATATTAGACATCATATCGGAGAGCAAGGGGCGGGGCCCGCTCTGTCAGCTAATCGCTGAGAGAGAGGTCGTGGTAGAGGCGGGTGCCGTTGTTTAGCCAGTTACAGGGCGCCAATGAGAACTAGGGGCGGGGATTAGCCGACAGCCCTGGAGCGAGCAACTCACAGCGGTCTGGAGTCGCCCCCTCCTCCTCTTCAGGAAGCAGGAACCGAAAGCATTACTCCCGCCTCGGCCTCCTCCCCGCTCTGTCCGAGTGGCCCTGTTTTCCGCTGCTGGCCATGCCGGCCAGGGGAAGGTAATGAGCCGCAGAGTCCCGGGATCTCGGCTGAGCAGCAGCAAGCAGTACCAGCGGAGCTGGAATGACTGGCAACCCAGGTCAGTTGGCGGCCTAGGCCTCGCTTTGCCAGTGGGGGGTCAGCACAGGGCAGCCTGGGCAATGGAGATCTGGATCTCATGTATGACACTCATACCGGGGCATTGTGCCTGACACTGAGGCCTTTGAAGCTTGGAAGAGCCGCATCATGTGTTCAGATCCTCTGCCACCAGCTATAACTCGTCTGAACAATGCTAGGCCCTCCCTCCTCTTCTTCGAGCAATATCAGTGACCCGAGCAGTACTAGCAGAGTCCCTTCCACTGCCCCGAGTAATACCAGCGGTGTCCCTTCCACTGCCCTGAGTAATACCAGCGGTGTCCCTTCCACTGCCCCGAGTAATACCAGCGGTGTCCCTTCCACTGCCCCGAGTAATACCAGCGGTGTCCCCTCTACTGCCCCGAGTAATACCAGCGGTGTCCCCTCCACTGCCCCGAGTAATAGAAGCATTGTTTCAGTTGAGCAGCATTAAAGCGTACCAGCAGAGCTGGAATGACTGGCAACCCAGGTCAGTTGGCGGCCTAGGCCTCGCTTTGCCAGTGGGGGGGTAAGCACAGGGCAGCCTGGGTAATGGAGATCCAGTTCTCATGTATGACACTCATACCGGGGCATTGTGCCTGACACAGGCCTTTGGAGCTTGGAAGAGCCGCATCATGTGTTCAGGTCCTCTGCCACTCATCTGAACAATGTTAGCCCCCCCCTCCTACAGCAATACCAGCGACCACTTTAGTGCTCCAAACCGTACTAAGTGTCTCTTCCACTGCCCTGAGTAATACTAGTAGTGTTCTTTCCACTGCCCCGAGTAATACTAGTAGTGTTCTTTCCACTGCCCTGAATAATACTAGTGTTCTTTCCACTGCCCCGAATAATACTAGTAGTGTTCTTTCCACTGCCCCGAATAATACTAGTAGTGTTCTTTCCGCTGCCCCGAGGAATACCTGTAGTGTCCCTTCCGCTGCCCTTAGTAATACTAGCAGCGTCCCTTCCGCTGCCCTGAGTAGTTCTAGCAGCGTCCCTTCCGTCTCCCCGAATAATGGTAGTAGCGTCCCTTCCGTCTCCTCGAATAATGGTAGTAGCGTCCCTTCCGTCTCCTCGAATAATGGTAGTAGCGTCCCTTCCGTCTCCTCGAATAATGGTAGTAGCGTCCCTTCCGTCTCCTCGAATAATGGTAGTAGCGTCCCTTCCGTCTCCTCGAATAATGGTAGTAGCGTCCCTTCCGTCTCCTCGAATAATGGTAGTAGCGTCCCTTCCGTCTCCTCGAATAATGGTAGTAGCGTCCCTTCCGTCTCCTCGAATAATGGTAGTAGCGTCCCTTCCGTCTCCTCGAATAATGGTAGTAGCGTCCCTTCCGTCTCCTCGAATAATGGTAGTAGCGTCCCTTCCGTCTCCTCGAATAATGGTAGTAGCGTCCCTTCCGTCTCCTCGAATAATGGTAGTAGCGTCCCTTCCGTCTCCTCGAATAATGGTAGTAGCGTCCCTTCCGTCTCCTCGAATAATGGTAGTAGCGTCCCTTCCGTCTCCTCGAATAATGGTAGTAGCGTCCCTTCCGTCTCCTCGAATAATGGTAGTAGCGTCCCTTCCGTCTCCTCGAATAATGGTAGTAGCGTCCCTTCCGTCTCCTCGAATAATGGTAGTAGCGTCCCTTCCGTCTCCTCGAATAATGGTAGTAGCGTCCCTTCCGTCTCCTCGAATAATGGTAGTAGCGTCCCTTCCGTCTCCTCGAATAATGGTAGTAGCGTCCCTTCCGTCTCCTCGAATAATGGTAGTAGCGTCCCTTCCGTCTCCTCGAATAATGGTAGTAGCGTCCCTTCCGTCTCCTCGAATAATGGTAGTAGCGTCCCTTCCGTCTCCTCGAATAATGGTAGTAGCGTCCCTTCCGTCTCCTCGAATAATGGTAGTAGCGTCCCTTCCGTCTCCTCGAATAATGGTAGTAGCGTCCCTTCCGTCTCCTCGAATAATGGTAGTAGCGTCCCTTCCGTCTCCTCGAATAATGGTAGTAGCGTCCCTTCCGTCTCCTCGAATAATGGTAGTAGCGTCCCTTCCGTCTCCTCGAATAATGGTAGTAGCGTCCCTTCCGTCTCCTCGAATAATGGTAGTAGCGTCCCTTCCGTCTCCTCGAATAATGGTAGTAGCGTCCCTTCCGTCTCCTCGAATAATGGTAGTAGCGTCCCTTCCGTCTCCTCGAATAATGGTAGTAGCGTCCCTTCCGTCTCCTCGAATAATGGTAGTAGCGTCCCTTCCGTCTCCTCGAATAATGGTAGTAGCGTCCCTTCCGTCTCCTCGAATAATGGTAGTAGCGTCCCTTCCGTCTCCTCGAATAATGGTAGTAGCGTCCCTTCCGTCTCCTCGAATAATGGTAGTAGCGTCCCTTCCGTCTCCTCGAATAATGGTAGTAGCGTCCCTTCCGTCTCCTCGAATAATGGTAGTAGCGTCCCTTCCGTCTCCTCGAATAATGGTAGTAGCGTCCCTTCCGTCTCCTCGAATAATGGTAGTAGCGTCCCTTCCGTCTCCTCGAATAATGGTAGTAGCGTCCCTTCCGCCTCCCCGAATAATGGTAGTAGCGTCCCTTCCGTCTCCTCGAATAATGGTAGTAGCGTCCCTTCCGTCTTCCCGAATAATGCTAGTAGCGTCCCTTCCGTCTCAAATAGTACAATAGTTTCTCTGGGACAAATGTAGTAGCTGGCTTGTTTTTATAAATGCCGATGCTTCTCTGTCGCTACTGTTTTTGGCAACACCACAAACCAAGCGTTGCTACTGTAGTAATCTCTGAACTAGTTGGTGGCTGTGGGAGGTTGTGGGTTTTAGTGCTGGATGTACCTCCCCTTTAGGAAAGCCCATAATTTGGGCTTCAGGCTGGGGTGGAGCTACAGCCAGTACTGAGAAATAAAAGTATTTTATTTCCAGTCCGCTGCTGAGATCTTATTAGGGATAAGAGCTATGTGCACTGGGTGTCATTGGGGCATTAACAAGCCTTTTTAACTTCTGGTGAGAGTTCTTTTGAGTATTTAGTTTGCACAAATTAAAAAGATCCATTTACTTATCTCTGCCATCAAGGGCATCCTTCTAGTTCTAATATTGTCCATGTTCTAGTTATCATGTTACTGTGTTATTGAATATGGTTTTTAATCTTTGGATTATGTTCTAATTATCAACAAAACGACTGCTTCTTTACATCTGTGTACACATTTATAGAAGTCTTTTAACCAAATATTACTTTTCATGTCTTCGCAAAGGTCAAAAATAATAGCATGATTGACCAAGGCTCAAGCATGTCAGCATGTGTATATTGAGGGCCTTTATTGTTGTCAATCATTGCTCATGTTCAGTGTGTTTTTGTTTTGTATGTTGTTGTCTTTTTTTTTTAATTGGCACCTAAAGGGAAATAAAAGTAAGTCCTGGTTCACACCTAGGCGTATTGCATATGCACGTCTGTCGCGCGACAAACGCGCGTTTCCGAGGGCTACTTGGCTGTATCCCAATGGAAACGCGCAACAAAAACGGCCCAAAGTAGTACATGTACCTTTTTCAGGCGTGGGCCGTTTTGTAGCGCGTTAGGGACGGGCTGAAATACGCCAAGGTTTGAACCAGACCCATTGAATACAATGGGTATTAGATGTTTGAGCGTTTTGTAGAGCGTTCGTCGAGCGTAGAACGTGCTAAAAAACGTTCAGGTGTGAACGAGGGCTAAATCTGTCATGAGAAAAGTTTGGGGGCTGCCATTGCTGCTGTCTCCTTTTGAGGGTGCTAGTTTCTTAGCTGTCATAATGATGCCTTGGATTCAGTGTTTTCTGAGTCTGACCTGGAACAAGCATAGAAATAAGGAATTCTGACAAATGTCTACAGCACACTTGCTATCACAGCTGCTGTATTTACTCAGCAACTTCTGGCTGTCATTTTGACAGTCAGGACTTGCTGGCAAGTGCAAAAGGGTGAATGGCACAAGGACACATCTTATAATTTTAAATCTGTTAGTATTGTTTTTGTATGTATGGTGATTATTTGTCCATATTCATTATTTCAACCATGCTAATAAGACACTTCCTGCAATGCAAAGAACAATGTACTGTTGAACTTGACATTATAAATCAGCCATATATCACAATAAGGCTTTTCTTACCTTGCCTGGTGGTTTGACTGCTTCTTTACATCTGTGTACACATTTATAGAAGTCTTTTAACCAAATATTACTTTTCATGTCTTCGCAAAGGTCAAAAATAATAGCATGATTGACCAAGGCTCAAGCATGTCAGCATGTGTATATTGAGGGCCTTTATTGTTGTCAATCATTGCTCATGTTCAGTGTGTTTTTGTTTTGTATGTTGTTGTCTTTTTTTTTTAATTGGCACCTAAAGGGAAATAAAAGTAAGTCCTGGTTCACACCTAGGCGTATTGCATATGCACGTCTGTCGCGCGACAAACGCGCGTTTCCGAGGGCTACTTGGCTGTATCCCAATGGAAACGCGCAACAAAAACGGCCCAAAGTAGTACATGTACCTTTTTCAGGCGTGGGCCGTTTTGTAGCGCGTTAGGGACGGGCTGAAATACGCCAAGGTTTGAACCAGACCCATTGAATACAATGGGTATTAGATGTTTGAGCGTTTTGTAGAGCGTTCGTCGAGCGTAGAACGTGCTAAAAAACGTTCAGGTGTGAACGAGGGCTAAATCTGTCATGAGAAAAGTTTGGGGGCTGCCATTGCTGCTGTCTCCTTTTGAGGGTGCTAGTTTCTTAGCTGTCATAATGATGCCTTGGATTCAGTGTTTTCTGAGTCTGACCTGGAACAAGCATAGAAATAAGGAATTCTGACAAATGTCTACAGCACACTTGCTATCACAGCTGCTGTATTTACTCAGCAACTTCTGGCTGTCATTTTGACAGTCAGGACTTGCTGGCAAGTGCAAAAGGGTGAATGGCACAAGGACACATCTTATAATTTTAAATCTGTTAGTATTGTTTTTGTATGTATGGTGATTATTTGTCCATATTCATTATTTCAACCATGCTAA